TCTGGCTCCATCAAAAATATCATTTACATGAACTAAAATCAATAAAAAATAACTAACCAAATTTAGAAATAAATCGAGAAACGCCCTTTTTTTTATGAAAATGATAAAATAAATAAAGAAAATATGATAAAATTTAAAATAAAGCACAGCTGTAGAACAATATAAATAAAAAGTATTGCCTTCGAAGATATTAAAAAAACTTATATAAACAAATAGGCATAGAGAGCTTTTTAAAAATAATATCGTATTCATTCCTATTTCAGGTATATATATATATATATATATATATATATATATATATATATATATATATATATATAAAGACGATATACTATTTACTATACGGAATGCCAATATGAAACAATACATAGTATGATCAGCATATAGCTTCTTAGTCGAAGAATAAAGAATAGTTAACAATCTTATAGTAAACAAAAACGCTAATACTGCTGACATTTAATCGTTTATTATAAATGATATAATTCTAAACGCTTTCCATTGTGAAATAAAATGCATCGTTTAACTTTACCAGGTTTTCTATTGTTAATAAATTATCGAAGATTGAATAATTGTTTTCACAAATAAATTTATTTATGTAATAGTCCCTCAAGTCTTTAAGCATCAGGCATTCTATTAAAAATGGTATAAGTATTCTGGCTTTTGGAGGTTAGGTATTATAAAATAGTATTCCCCTTATTATAGACCCTTCCATTAAGTTAAATGAACGTTTCATTAAATTCCATAAGCTGACTGACTATTCTGTATTGCGAACATTTCGAATTGAGCACTAAGTTTATATGGAGTGTATTATTAATATCATAAAAGAAGGATTATACTGTGTTTCTTTTTTAAATAAAATTATAAATCAAGAAGTACTAAATACGTACAGCAGATTCAATGAATGATTTATTGGCAAGGTTTAAAATTCAGTGAGAAGCAAATGCCACTGTATATCAGATAATAGAGCAATTGGAAATGTCCACTTATCCTATCTATCTGGCAAAAATGAATGCAAAGTGTACTATTAGTTCAACAAATTGCTGAATCCTTGCTGACACGAATTGCCAAATATCTCTATAACAGGGAGAGTTTTCAAATCGTAAAAATAAAAATTGTATTTTCTTTCCAAGACAATAAAATACAAAAAAAGTTCATTGTGATTTAAGGTTATGAAATGCCATTTAATAACATTTTTTTGGTAATAAACCGATGAAAATTAACTTATAATTTAAAAAATTCATTGTAATGCGAAACATTATGAGAGGTATTTTATTTTGTCAATTAAAATGCTTTTTACAGAAAATAATTCAAATACTATGTAAGTAACATTTTTTTTTAATCAATGTTTTATATACTTTATTTCAAAATAATAATTAAAATATTTCGAAACATTGACTACTAGTCCAATAAAGTAAGGGGAAAAAAACAGCCATTCCTCAACATTAAAAAAATAAAGATGAAACATCAGAAATTGTTCATTATCCTCCATATAATAACTGATAAAAAGTCGCAAAAAATCCGCAAAAAGGGTTTTGGTGGAGAAATGGGAGGAAAGACAGAAAACTGGTATTTTTTCAGTTTTTTGAGAATATCTCAAAAACTATGAGATTTTTTGTAAATATTGTCAAGTACAATATTGGATTACTTTAAAATCACTACAAATTTGTTTGATAAAATGGTTACGGAGATATTTATGATATTATATTTATTTCATTTCCACTTTAAGCAAAAATTGCTCAAAAGCACGAAATTGATATTGTTCATAGTATAAGATACCTTTTTGAAGTTTAATTAGTTTTTTAACATTTCAGTTTCTACGTAAATATCACCGTTACCATTGATTTTATAAAAAAAAGGGTATAGAACCATATTTAAATATATTTTAAAGCACTTTAATTTAGTACTGGACAACCTTTGCAAAAAATCTCACAGTTTTTGAGATAGTCTCAAAAAAATAAAATATCAGTTTTCTGTCCTTACCTCCCTTCCCCATCAAAACCCGACGCGGAATTCTTTGGGACTTTTTACCAGTTATTATGGGGAGGATAATGAACAATTTCTGACAAGTTTCATCTTTATTTCTTTAATGTTGGGGTCAATCCCTAATTTTACTGGACTATACCTTCGAGGAAAAAAATACAATGACTATTGTAATTATAATTTTTTTTTATCAAAATATTCATCAAGACCAATAATAAAAAAAACAAAAAATGAACTTGAAAGTTACTTCTCGTGAATAGACATACTAAAACAAGAAAGCAAGAAAGGTAATTTTTTTAAAGAGAACAATGGCCTGATTATATATATATATGTGTATATATATATATATATATATATATATTTATCTTTCTTCTCCTTAATAAATTCGAATAATCGGCACTATCACACAGCAACAATATCAGTAAAAACTACTTATCGAAATAACAACAAAATATTATCAAGAAAATCTAACCTAAAAACCTGAATGACATGCGGTAAGGATTGCAAACAACGTAAATTATAGAGGTTTAAAATCGGACTTAATCTGCTGACTTACAGCCCCTGGCTGAGTTTTGAAACACGCTACACCTTTCAACTACTTTCGGTAAAGTTGTTGTAAGAATAAAAAAAAAAATCGAAATTGAGATTCGATCGGGAGTTCTGAAAGCCGGAAAAAGGAACCTATATACTACGGATTTAATCTGTATAGATATTTGCCCAAAATAAGGCAAATTTTCCATTACCTTTTACTATTTGTCATATCTTCGAATCTAATTATTTTTAGTTCAGAATAAAAATCGGATTGGATTTTAGTATTTATTAGGATAGATTATTACGTATCGATAATACAATCGATTTATACAATTAGCCAATAGTAACTAATTTTTGATAATGTAGAATTACTTATTAAAATTCTTTAATTGTTGGTACGATTTTTATTTTGAAGTGAATTCTTCTTTGGGGCATTTTGCACTTTTTTTTTGAGAGTGAATTGGTTTGAGCCGTTAGATCTCCGATGTTTAACGACCGAGTAATGTCGGCAGGAGTCGATTACTGTTTATATGCATATGGATTTAAATATCTCATAAACTAAAAAAATTGGACCTGTAGAATATAAAAGAGGGTATTATTCAGTAGTTCATCCTTTCTGTAATGGGCTATTATTATTCGAAATTGTATCTTAATGCGGAACCGTGTTAGGGAAGCGAAAAGAAAAAAATAGTCGAAAACCAAATGATAAGGAGTTTTATTGAAGATATGGATTAAAATATCTTAGAAATTAAAAATTGGACTTGCATACTGTAAGGGAGAGAATTGTTCAACATTCCATCCTCTCTATAAAGACCTATTATTCAAAATTGTATCTTGACGCGACGCCGTGTTAAAAAGAAGAAAAGGAAAATATAGTATCGAAAACCAAATGATGATAACTATGATGACCAAATGACAATATCTCAGAAACTAAAAATCGAACCTGTATACTGTAAGAGAGGAAAATATTCAGCATTTTATCTTCTTTATATTGAGCTATTATTTATAATTTATAATAAATATAATTAATCTCGCCTTGTTGTTGTTTTCACTTTCATCGTGTGGTCTAAAGCACACACCTTAGGTATTTTTGTTGCTGTTTTTTTTTGCTAATTTAGGTGTTATCTTTACTACATCGTATGTTACTATAAAGAATAAATTTAATATCTCATAGGACGGAAGAAACCTAAAATAGAAAGTGATAAAACAAAAAAATAAATAATAAAAAAAATTAAGTAAATATGAAAATTCTTAACATTCATTTTAATTGCGATTCAAGGAAATATTAAATAGGAAATTAACACAATCCTTAAGATAATGTGATGGTAGACATGGGGAAGGAAATGATAAAGCAGTATTTCTCTCCCCGAACTAACAAACTTCCATTTTGTAATGAAAGATCTCACATAGCATTCCGTCAAGAGCTTTTACGAAAATTGAAATATTACTCTTATAATTCTCTCTTATATTTCTTCAATATCTTATATTTAAAACAAAGGAAAATTTTTTTTTTAATTTTAAGCTCTGAGTATTGAATTGAAAGAGTTCATTTTTCCAAATTGATGAAACATGTTGGAAATTTTTTACCAAACAATAGCAATATTTTTCGTGTTTTGGAAACATAATACTCTTCATCAAAACATGCTATATATTCTATAATTTTTCTATCGAGTTATGTTGTAAGTATGCAGAGTTTGTTTACATTCTTTTTGCAGTAAACATTTCGAGGTCGCCCCTAGACCTAATTTTTAAATTTATTGAAGTGATAAGGGACATATTATCAATAGTCTACGATATTTTATTGCTTATGGTAATATTTTTATTGGGGTTTACATCTTAAAATATTATCTAGTAATATATAAAAGAAAGATCGCCTGTTTTATTTTTGTAATTTAGAATGTGTCCCGCGAATATTGGGAATGATTCAAAGAAGTTAACCCTAAGAGTAACAAAAATATTTACATAAGCAATTTAATGTCGTTCATGAATTTTAAAATTTGGTCACGGTTCCATTTCAACATTTTTACTATGAAAAAAAAAATAAAGAAAAACAGTTCACACAGACAATAACAATATAGAAAAATATCGGAATGCACAGCAAGTTTTGAAGATGGTATGTTTCCTGGACATGAGGGATGATTCCTAAGTTTGGTCACAACTTTCCATGTTGAATTAAATTGGTCCTCGTTTCCTAACGGAACTTTTTACACAGTTAAGTTTCTTGAACTGGGGGATTAAAATAAATTCCATCAAATCACCTTTACCCTTCGTCGTATGCCTATGACTTCCTATCCAACAGTCTCCTTTAGTAATACCCCACTAATCCTTGTTGAACAAATCCGACACCTGGGGCTCCACTTGGACAAACGTCTAACTTGGAATACTCATACCAGACTGAAACGACAAGAAACGGCTCCACGTTTCCGACCACTCAGCACTTATTAGAAAAACGTTCTACTCTTCCAGTATATTACAAACGACTCATATACATGACTACAATAAAAACTATTTGGAGTCACGGAATAGAGATTTGGGGCACCACAAAATCATCAAATTCCTCACGAATCCAATCCTTACAATCCTCAATGTTCCTTACTTTGTCACTAATAAAATAATCCATAACGACCTCAATGTTCCTTATGTTTCCGATATGGCCCAATCCAGATACCTATCCTTTCATTAAAGTTCAAAATCATCCAAATCCTCTCGTCTCTAACCTTGCTTCCTCTTCTATTCCTGATAACCCTCTGAGGCGTCTTAAAAGAAGATGGCCTCGAGATCACCTATTGTAAATACATTTTTTTAGAGTGCTACCAGCGGGTAGTTTCTCAACAAGAGTTCACATTTACTTAATGTATTTTTTTCTTTATATAGTTATAAATATCAAAAATAAATTTAAAAAAAAAGGGGGGTTCTCGAATAAAGTGAAAGAACCTACTGGTTGAGAACCTTAACTTCGTAAAAGCCCCATAACAAAATAGGTTACTAAAACTGGTGAAGGGAAGATCAGGCGAACCGAGAGTTATCCATCCCGTCACTCAAAATTACTCAAGATATAATACTAGGCACCATAGTACACGTTCAGTTGATCGTTGAAATGCTGATAGTTTATTATTTAATTAAATTACTGATATATTGTTTTATACAATTATTGACACTGTCCTTTAAAAAAAATTAAAATTGCAATGTAATAAAATATAAATAAATGTTTACAGCTGAAATCACAGCTTGTTGGCAAAAATCTAAAAGCTTATTCCAAGTTTTATAATAAATTCCATGTAGGTATGCTCAGATAAGGCACAACATACGAATTTCACGATATTAAAATTGAAAAAAAAAAAAACGTAGGTGCCTACCCAATTAGGTTGAGTACAGCAATATAATTAAAACGTTAGAAAAGAAAAATTAACAGGATTCAAGACGTTGAAGGACGAATGAAAATGATCTATGTAAAAGAAGAAATGAGATGGAAATTTATGCATAAATGCTTCGTGGGATGACGAAGTGGAATTGATTTTGTCGAGCAATTCATTTCTATACTTAGCCATTATCATCTTGAACCTCTAACGATGAAGACGACGATGGGAAATAGCGATTCTTTCATATAATGGCAAATAAATTTAAATTTGAAGGACGGCTTTCTAAATTCATATGTTTCATTAAAATAATGAATGAATGAATGTAATATAAAATATTTCACAATACAATTTATCATTTTTTTTTTTTTTTTTTTTTGTTTATCGTTCTATTTTATTGTTAAAAGTAAAATTACTCCCCAAAGGTAAAAGAAAGATGTAATTATTGAAATAAGATGCAAATATAAAAGGGTTAAGAAATTTTATAGGTAGCTGTAACATGAATGATATCGATAAAAATAAATTTCTGTCATCACTCACTCATGATTTATGTTCACAAAAAAAAAAATATTTTCAAGACGTTTTGGCTGTCAGACCATCATCGATCAAATTTACAATAATTCAATAACACAATAAACTAAATTTAGCATTGCTTATTTGGAACACTTCCTCTTAACTTCTCCAAATTAACTGATGATGAACTGACAGTCGGAATGTCTTGAGAATTTTTTTTTTTTTTCAAGTGGTAGACTTGTTTTTCCCGATAAACCATTGTATAATAATTTGCAACTTTTTTTTTCTTCTTAAGCGTCTAAACAATATACATATATTAAACCGAGATAATATTTATTTAAAAAGGCGATTAGGACACTATTGAGAAAAAAAGAGTATCAATTTTTATTTATGTTTCTATCATTTCAACATCGTTTTGAATTTTATCTCTTTAGAGCCATTTTAAAATTAATCCGTGAATTCCGATGGATAACGACAAATCATATTTATCCTTCGTCGCTAACCTATGAATTCCTGTCCTACAGTATCCTTCAATAAAACATTACTTATCCCTGTTGAACAGATCCACCATCTAGATGTAAATTGAAACATATTTACCATGACAAATGCCATACTTTAGAGTCCTCACACAAAACTGAAAGGACAAGAAAATGCTCGACTATGGCTATTTCCAGAGCTACGGCATTCATTAGAAATGTTCTAAGCTTGCAATCAATCACAAAAGGCTCATATACATGATTATAATATTGAGCACTTAAACACCGAATTCCTCTCGTATTTGTTGTTTTTCTTACCTTCTACCTTTTCTATTCATAAGAACGTATTTTTTGAAGTGTATTTTATTTTATTTAAAAGTATTTTATTTTTTACTTATCTTCTACACACTAGTCTCTATGTGTGTATATATATGTGTGTGTGTATATATATGTATATATATTATTTTTTTCTGCTCGTAATCTATTGAGTCATAGGTAGATCACAATTCTCTACATGTTTTTCACAATATCTACATGTGTTTTCACTTAAGAGTTTTAAGGAACATCTATAAATCATTTATTTACTCTAAGTATTTTATTTATTTTTATTTTTTTTATATATTATCACTAAAATTGGTTACCTATAAAACTAACTTAGCGTTTCTTTTCAATTCTATTTAGTAATTTGTATGTTTTTGTTTTTTAGCACCAATATTATGATATTGTAACCTTCGTACCCATCTGCTTTCGTTAATATACCTCCAAAACTATGTATATACTCATTTTACAACTTAGATTCTCGTTACTCTTTATTATAAAAGGTCATCTGGCCAGATTTATTGTCAATTGGTTTGAACAATATTGTTATTCTTAAGGGACCCAGTCCCAGAATAAAGATGTTTTTCTATTTCTATTTAATTCTTACAGACCGAAAACCCTACATTCTTCATATTTATCACAAACAAAGACCTTAATGTTAAAAACGTCACCAATTTGGTCCAATCCAGAGAAACCTATGTTTTCATTCATAATAAACTTCAGATATATCTATCCTAAAACACTTCTTTCCGATGTTCAGCTCATTTTAATGTAAATCTTAAAATAAATGTTGTAATAATATATTTAATATATATTAAATTCCTCTGCTTTTAAGAGATAAAAGTTTGGTTCCCTAAATATAAACGATTTTAATAAGATGTTACTTGTTCTACAAGTAATTTTAATTAATACTCTAGGAGAAACTCATAACTAATATAAAAGCAATTCAAGGCCTTCTGAGCTAAGATTACAAAATGTGAATATTTTATAATTGATTTATTTTTTTTTTAATAATGGAAATGTTTGTTATTAAAATATATTAAACCAATTTTATCTCAAGAGATCATAACGACGGTTAAACATTTATCTTAATCCCTTTGAAGTTATTCTTAATTATCTCGTTGATAATATTTTTGTGATAGCAACGAGGATATTTCCAAATAAAATATGAACTCATCGAATCCATTGAATATTTTCACATTGCTAACAAATATAAATAACCTTCTTAGTTTTCAGGATTGCATCACTAACGTGGATTCATAATTGGCAGACAATTATTGTTTCAGTTTATAGTAAATCATTTTTTAATACTTTTATCAATAATTTTAATAATATAGAAAATTAAATAACACAATCAAGTCGGTATTGTGAATATCTGTTTTTAATAAGAATGAAATGACAGAGAGAAAGCAAAAATGAAAAAAATATAAGAAGAAATTCCATTTAAATATTACATTACAAGGCTTAGATATATCCGGATTTTTACACTTATAAGAAATAAACAACTGTTGGAATATAGCTGACATCAGATTTTTTTCCCAAAAGTCAAATTTATTAATAAAAAGAGATAATCAAATAACAGTAAATAAATTAATGATTCAACAAAGAAGGAGATTTAACTCGAAAGGTTTGTTTTATCAAAGCTTCTTTGAAAAATAAAATACTTCATTCCATTTGTGATTCCAGGAATTTCATTCAGAAGCTGACACTCATCAATAAAACTAATTACTTCCAATTTTGTATTAATCATTTCTATTACAATTTTTATGTTATTCTCAGTCCCAATCTCCTTATTTTCTTATAATCATGTTGTTCTTTTATTGTATATATGGTATGATTGTACTTCATTTATCATAAATACTCAATGTCCTTAATTGAGGCAAAATGTTTTTTTTTTCCTCAATAAAAATTGTTCATCAATTTCCTTAATCGCTAATAAATATATGTAATTTTTTTTTTTTTAAATGTCAACCTATAATTTATGTGGAAAGTATTTTAGAACATTCTCTAATACATCTAAATTATCGGATGATTTGATTAGGAAATACTGAAACCTATATTCAATGTTATAGATAGTTGCTAATCGATCTTAACGAAACTAACAACAGTCAAGAACTATATGGTTATCTTTAATTCAATCTACTAGATAAGTAGCTTAAATCCCACTTTAGATGGGTCGATATATTAATTTTTTAGATTTGTTGATTTATGATCTTAATTCTTACTGGTCCTGAGCGTCTGTTGCTCTAGTGCCCTCCATCAGTCTCCTACCAGTGACGCGGCTAGGAGAGAACCACTGGGATCTTCTGGAGTCCTACTTTGGCTTCCACATTTGGGGGACAAAACTTGATTCAGAGTCCCCTGGGCCAATGTAAATATTTTGCATAGATGTGAATCTGTGTTATTTATTTTATTATCATTCGGCTTTAATCTGTTATTTTATTTATCTTGTATATTACTTTTTCTTTTTATTTATATATTTTTTTTTCTTACTTTGGTCATTTATGTTTAATTTTCTTTCTTATTTACATATTGTGTGAATGAATACTATATAGCCCTAGTACCAATGCCCTTCAGTGTGGCAGACTATATTAATACTCAATAAAAAAAAAATTCTTATTTAATATGTGTAAATTAATCTATGCGGGGTTTTAAGAATACATGCTATTATGCTTATATAAAACATAAAGACATAACAAAGACATTAGGATATATTTTAGATACATGAAAGTTAAAATCATGCCAACTCAGGAAAAAAAACAACTAAATATTGAGCTCCTGAAAGTTAAAAATGGCATCCCTTTAAAGAAGTCATATATAAGGATTCTTTAACCAGACTAATGAAATTATATTTCTCAACAAACCTTGAGAGTTCTTTTCTCATGAATAACGAGTCATAATGATCCAAATTCAAATCAAAAATTACATTGTGTTTCTTAACTTTTATCAATAAATTCCAATTATCAAGTTATAAATAATGATTAGGATAAAACGCCAAATGATGAATAATTGTTAATAAAATGAAACTATATATTTTATACGATGATTTAGCCAATACATTTTCTGCAATCGGGCATTGGTCCTTGTGATTGGAGGACCACGGCCACAGATGATCATTCACTAATACAGTTTATATATTTTTACTACATCCTCGCATTATATACAAAGGTAACTCAAAAAGGCACCCGGTAGCCCGAGATCCCGTGCAAAAAAAATTGACTTCCGAGGAAATTTTGAAAGCATTTTTGAATATTCATAACATTTATATTTTAATGAGGAATCTTGTTAACTTTAAGCACACCAGTGAATTTTTAAAGTGTTTTTACATTTGGATTAAAATATCCCAAGAACTAAAAATCGGACACGCATACTGTAAACGAGGGAATGTTCAGAATTTTATTGTCTTTATAATGAGATATTACTCAAAATTTCATCTTAACGTGTCGCTGTTTTAGAGAGACAATCTGAAAAACGGGACGAATTTTGTTGAACATATAGATTAATATATCTCAGAAATGAGAAATCGGACCTGCGAGGGAAATGTTCAGCATGCCATCCTCTTTGTAATGTGCTATTATTCAAATTGTATCTTAACGCAACGTCGTGTTAGAGATGGGAAAAGGGAAGTAGAAAAGAGGCAAAATGACAGTCTGCCAGTGGGATCATGCCAACTGAAAAAAATGGCGAATGATTTAAAGAATATTAGGCTGGTAACGTGAGAAATATAGAAAGTGAGAAAAACTATTCATAGCGAAAAATATGGAAAAAGTTTTTATTTTTTCAACTTGTATGTATGAGTTTAAATATCTAAAAAACTAAATTGCTATCACGAACCATCAAGGGAAAACTTTTTATAGACAAAAAAGTCAGATTTTTTCGATCCTTTTTTTTTTTTTTTTTTTTTTTTCACCTATAACTCCTAAACGGTGTATCGAAGCGGAAAATTTGGTCTTTAAGAAATTGAAATGAAATGCGATAAGAAGAGAAGAAGAAAAGGAAAGGTGGAACGACGTGTTAAAGCAGTTGGCAGGGCCCTTCTGGTGGAGACCTGCTAGAGACAGGGATGTCTGGAAGTAGAAGTGGACGGAACTCGCATCCCAATAGGACCTAGTTACCCAGGGATGTGCTGACCATTACTCCCGTAAGGGAAGGACTATGCCAGGGAGGAAGAAAGAAAATAAATAGAAAAATAATCAATTTATTAATTTCTTTTCACAGTTAAAGAATATACTTATTTAAATGTACTATTTATTAGCTTTTGCATAAATAAAGGTTATATTATTTCATATCAAAGTCGATAACCACGGTCAACAAGCACTAGTTTTTACCAAATTTGCAAAAACTAAGACGAATTACTATAAAGAGACCTTCATCTAGGAAATGGGTTAACTAAGAGAAAAAACTCACAGAATAAAAGTTAGAGAACATAAAATTCCACTTCCATTGAGTAACAACAGTATTAATGTAGGTCAATTATATCTCTCGGATCGGAGATCGTTATTTCTTCATGATATTTGGTTCGCTTTGGCACCTAGATTCTTCAAATCCTTCGATACTGAGAGGTGGAAAACAGTCCTATACCGAATATAGCAGACTCTTAAACTAGAATAATTCAATATAACGGACACCTATACTGTTAAAATGCTTAAAATCACACAAATCTTTATCAACTATTTCCAGCCATCGGGAAATTGCCAATTTCAAGCGGAGTAAGTGACCTACAATGAAACTGTTAGTACATAGTGGACGCAGAATTTAATTCTCTACAACTTTTATTCTCTTAGGAAACTCATTTTCTACCAACAGGACTAATTATAATACATGTAGATTTTGAAAAAAAAAAAGGTAAAAAATAGCTTTTTTGACCGTGATTACAGACTTTACCACTTCACAAATGATTTAAGTTTAGATACTCGTTTGACGCACAATTTAACGTTCTTTAATTTGTTAAAGAGTACGTTTTTCGCTGCCATGGACCGTTTAGGAGTTATATATGAAAACACAAAATCCGTCCATCCACCGATTGATTTAAGATTTATTAGAGTCAAAGGCATCATGGAAAATCGACATTATCACCGGCAATGTCGTCTCGAAATAGTGATTAGAAATTGTATATACTATTCTACCAGTTAACAGTCATATCCTCTATCTACACTAGGTTAGCGAGTGGAACGAATTAGTTGATTTTCTTTTAGTTCTACATGGCTTAATCAACTTAATTATCTAAAGAACTTGGAACGCAGTAGTAACTGTTTTTATGAAATTTGTAAAAACTCTTCCTTCGAAGCACTTAATTTTTTTTTATATAGATATAATGAAACAATACTGTGATGTAGCCAGAGAGATTAAAATAGTGCAGATTTGAAATACAAAGGAAGATAACTGCACAACAGAGAGCCGACAGAGCTAACTACACAACTACACAAGACCATTATGAGCCAAAGAGAGAAGGGAGCGGCGTTGCACCGGAGCTGGCTGGCTATGAACAAACCATTTGCATTTGAGATAGCTCGAACCATTGAAGGCCGGAACTCGATTGCTTTCACAACCTCTGTCACTCCTGCCACAGAACGGAAACTATTGTTGTGTTCTGGGTGAGGGTCACTCCTTCTACAGCCTGCGGCTCAATATTAAACTTTAGAGAACATTATACTTTACGCTACTGGTATGATACCTTTACACAGAGCAGGGAAACAGACTCCTTTTTAATGAATTATTAACATCCGCTTGAAACTTCATAAATAGTTTCATCTCATCGTAACATACAACCATTTTATTT